AGCCAGCTGTTGCGCGGCGGCGCGCAGTCCGCGGATAAGCGCTGCTGGGTTGCCCTCGAGAGCCACCCTGAATCCCAGCCCCTCCGGATCGCCCTCGGCCGGCTCCCAGCGAAACTCCGGAGGGGCGACGGGTTGGGGTTGGGTTGGGTTGGGTTTTGCAAAGCCCTTGTACAGTTAATTCCAGCTGTGGTCTCATCCAGGATCCTCTTCCCAACAATGGCTGTAGGAAGGGAGGTGAGGTTGGGGAAGGCGTCACCTGTTGAATACCTGTCTGTCAGGCACAAGGGCGGGGCTGGAGGTGGGGAAGAGCTGAAATGCCCCTTAAAGCAGCCTCCCCTGTTTCTTCTGATTGTGGGTGATTTATTCAAAAGCCAAAAAGCTTCCTTGTTGAACGTGTCATGATCGTTTCCTGCTCACCCGTCTGCCACATCCTGTTTTGTTGATGTGGGCTCACCGTCTGCATCTCCGAACAAATAGGTGGCTGTCTTTCCAACTGACACATTTATTAAAACATAAGCTTTCGTGAGCATCTGATCTGCCTCTGGTCACCAAATTTTAGCATCACATTCCCTGATCTGGATGTCTTGCAGATGTGTGGACTTCAACTCCCAGAATTCTCGGCAGCAGCCAGGCTGGTGGGAGAATTCTGGGAGTTGAAGTCCACACATCTGGAGGATGTCCAAAATAGGGAAGACTGGTTTAATGGCATCATAAGTGGACAGGAAATAGTCATTTCAGCACCTCAGTCCCAATGGTTGACTTTGATGGAAAAAGATAGTTGTCCCTTTTAGGGGTGTTTCTGTTTTTTCAGCCCTGTCTTGGATTGCTGAAAACTGACCTCAAATGCTGTCATTTTGAGGAGGGTTTTGGACGGAAATGGTACCCCTAAAATAATAATATCATAGTTAAAACACCGTGGGAAAAAATGTCAAACTTCCCTTTTCTTTTCTTTTCTTTTCTTTTCTTTTCTTTTCTTTTCTTTTCTTTTCTTTTCTTCTCTTTTCTTTTCTGATGTGGCCCCACCTATGTAGGCACTTGGTGGGGGGGGCACATGATGTCACATCTGTTCTGACATGTGGCCTTGAGTTGTCATTATTATTATTATTATGGTTGGCTGCACAGCCAGATGTTTAAACTGGATGTGGCATTTTTACCCACCTCTTGAGTCCTTCCCAAGGACCTGCCTATATAGGTGGATGTTCTTATTTGATGGCGTGAAAGGCATCATCGCAATGGATTGATGATGATTTGGTCAATGCTGATGGTGTTCAAGTTTTTTATTATTTTTTATTATTTTGTTATTCATAATACTATTCATTAAAGTAGTATTTATTAAATTATTTTCATATAATACATGTTTGGGGGTCGATGAACAATCTGAGACTTCATGAAGGGGTCGATGAGCTGAAGAGTTTGGGGACCCTGGCGTAGACGGTGCCACGGGGGCTGGCCCTGGAGGGCTATCCTCACCCTCTCGCACCTCCCCGAAGTTACGCATTGTCCTGGCCTCCCCCAGCCGTCCGCCCCTGCTCTGAGATACCTTTTTTCTACGCGCCACTTTGCAGAGGAGAACTGCAAGAAGTATCTGCAGAAGAAGAAGCAGGAAGAATCGGAGCAGCCGGTCCAGGTCCCAGCAGTGGACAGTAGCTTTCCGAGGGCCTCCGAAATGCAGGGCATCACCACTCAGGATGACCCACTTGGTAAATGGGCCCTCAGATCTTTGAGTCGTTTTAATATTGTAATATCTTTTAAGAACGGCTGTTTTTAAAACAATGATTGTACTGAATTTTCTCTCCCGTTTGGTTTTACTGTGGGCTGCCCAGAGTTCATTCAGACTTGGGTCGTGCCTAAATTAAATGAATTAAATCAGATCTTTTAAGCAGGCAGGTGGCAGGGGTTGGCGAGAGGGGTAGCTTGGGGCCCTGTTAAGCTGGTCCTGGGGATGAAGTTGCAGACAACCACCATCTGTAGGAGTGAGGGAGAATTTCTCGGTTCTCAGAACTATCGACACTTGCAAGCCAGGTAGAAATTCAATAGGAGAAGCTTCAACAGGCTAGTTCAGTGTTTCTCAACCTTGGCAACTTTTTATATAAGGGTAGATTTACTTCCCCACCTCAACTTCCCCCCCCGCCGCGCCGGGGACGGGGTGCGGGCGGGTGTGTGGTTTCT